CCACTATTTAAGCAAATATTCAATATATCAGCCTGTGAACTGCAGTGGCACAGACATTGTCTAGTCAGTCTTCCCTGGTGCAAAAGGAGACATGTCTTGCTGAGGGACAGAGTAGGTCTTTGAAGGTGGTAACTTCTGCCATCTTAGCTAAAACTGTCTCCAAAATGAGTCAAAGCCTTAAACCGATAATATTTGGCATTTTTATTAATCACAGGGAAGACTTTTAAACCTTTTTTTTCTTACTTTGGAGAAAAAAACCCAACAACTGACCAACTTAACAAGGAGGCCTTAATAGAGCAGAATATAAGCAAAGCTTTTATAGTCATACTGCATCTCTCTTGTCTGTAGTCCTATAAAAGAAGTGTTGACAGACCAATAGCAAAGTGAAAAGTGAAAGTCGTTACTAGGATGAACTGAAGAATAAACAGTTTTCAGTTCAAGGCTGTGATCAAAACAAGGGGCTCTGCTGTTGTCTGAGAAAAGCTTCCGTTCCCAGTGAAGAAATGTAGAACTCTTCCCCTCATGACCTAACTCTGAGCCTGACAGGTTGTGTTGCCATGATAATGAGTTTCTCATATTTGAAATAACTCAGAATTACAGGCTTTGTCCTGCTACAGCTGGATGATAGTCCCTCTCGTAGCACTGAAATATACCTGTTCTATAAAGAAAGGAGAGAAACAAACCAGAATCTCTAGATGTATTTAGCTGGCTTTACTGTTCTGTGCTGTAGGAAAGAAAAAATTGTTTGTGAAGCTTGAAACTTCTAGGAAAAAATTGAAGTTCAGCCTACATAATTGATTTTTTTAAATTCAGTATCCCCTTGTTGTTTTAGAAGCAGGCACTCTGCAGAATGATGTAGAATGACTTAAATTTTATTTCACAAACTTAATTTACTGGAAAAAAATATATTTCATAGACTCACTTTTCAGGTGTTCCTGTCTTGAAATTGGAAAAGGTGCCACGGATATAACTTTCAAAATTCAAGATCAAATATGTCTAACAAATTATTAAAAAAAAATAAAAATCCAAACTTCTTTTTCTCCTAGGTTCTAGCTGCGTAACCTGTCTGCTGAGAGTCAGACAAGCTTTTTCTCTTAGGCATGCTGCTGATAATACTTTTAGTAACTGTGTTCTCATTATGTCATTGGCAATGCTGGGGCTAAACCCTTTATTCTCAGCTGTAGTGTTTAGGAAGGATGTATGATACATGATAAGTGTATGGTAGCTCATACTTGGCTAATACTAGCCAGGTCTCTCCTGGCCTCATGAGCTAACACAAATAAGTAACCCTGAGCATTTTCGCTCAGATCATTCAGTTGTCTAGGATTGTGGAGACATGCATGAACAGGATTGCATTTGCTGAGAAGGACATCATCCTCTTTATATATTTGCTTTCCAGGGTAAAAATCTACAAGCAGAATGTTTGTTAGCAAGAGAAATACTAATTAGCTCCTTCTACAGGGGTCAGCAGAAGTGGGCACTGAAAATTGTTCATTTCAAGTAAAGCACGAGTAACCCTGATTTTCATGATCTTGTTTTGTCTTAAGGAGAGTGCATCACTGGAGCAGATAAAGCCAGTCCCAGGAAAGACACTCACATTATGTTGTGTATTTCTGGGGGAAAGCACCGTGGGATATATTATGTCAGTGCTCTGTTTCCATCTTTGGAGGCATTTACGGATATTGATACCGTAATTTCATGTCAAGTACTCTGAAAAAGTTTCCCTCCTTCAGTGGTTTCAAGAGCTGAAGTCAATATATTTTCTTGTTTACTTCCATTCTCTAGGGTGCCTAGGCCTGAAGAGAATCTATGTATATCTTTTGCTTTATTTTGTAACAAACCTCTTGATCTAGCACAGTGCAAACCTGTTGACCGAAAACACATAATGGAAATTCTTTCTTTATTTCTCATACATTAATATTAGAAATTTATTTCGTAACTTTAATATTAGTCTTATCTGCCAAAGGCAGTGGAAAAAGTTTGGGTTTTGGCAGTTATAGTTCTTAAGCAACAGACACATTCTTATATTTACCATATGAAATCTGTTTGCTCTTTATCACAACAATGAGGTGTCATGAAATAGGTTGCGTAGGTCTGTTTTTTCCTGCAGTCTTCTACAAGAGGGTTTCCAGAGCTGCTCGGGGAGTTTTAGTACTCGCATCTTGTTGCAAGTGATTTAGACTTTTGCTTTATGTTGTTGAGGAACCTTCCAAAACTCCTTCCGTAGTTGTGTATTAATGGTATTTTTTTCATTAGATTTTCATGCATCTCTGTCTATGGCTTTAAAAAAAAAAAAGACGAGACATAAAGACTGTTCAGTGAGCCATCTGTGAGTGGAGACAGTGTTCTGATGGCTCTTCTATGATGAGATATAAGATTTCTTCTAAATAAGGAAGCTGAGGAGAAACACTGATTATTTGCCTTCATCCAGGATAACATTTGAAAAAATACCCAATTCTAGGCTTGCCATTACTTTGCATGTTGAAAAATTTTGCTAAACTGAAGCCAGGACTTGGCTAAGTACATATTTGGCATTGCAACTATGTATAGTTGAAGAGTATTACAATGTGTACACACACAGGAGATATGGTTGAACAGTACATTAGTTCTGAAATTCCCTGACTCTGGAGGCTTTATTTGAACCTATTGGTTGATCTTTTACTACCTTATTATTTTTTTTGTTGTTTGAAAGTCATTTATCTTCTCAAGTCATAACGGAAGTGCAGTACTGAAAATGATAGGAATGATTGCAAACAAAACTCTAGAATAAAAAGGACAAATCTTCCTGAAACTCAACAAATGTCGAATCGTGTCTTAAACCATAATGATATCATGTAAATTTATGGAAACCATACAAATATTGCTTACTTCAGAAGACATGGCAATTTGTTCAAATTATGTCTAGTATTGCTTCATTTTTTCAATTTATTTCCAGACTTGGAGCTGAGTTATTAAGAGATGGAAAGAAACAAATGACTAACAAAAAAAAAAAAAAAAAAAATATCCATGAAGCCTAGAAATTCTTATAAGAAGTAACTTTTAAAAGAAATCACTTGAATATTTTTCCTTTGTTGAAGCAGTAGAAAATTGCATGCTCCTTTACTAAAAATAGTAATGACTTCACTTTGTTAGCAGGGTAGTCTCGTGTTCCCAAGACGAGGACTGAAGTGATTCACTGAACAGTTAGAAGCAATATCAGTGTTAAACCTCCACATAACAGTATATTAAATTGCATCCCTGTTGACCCTGAATTTTTTTCTGAATAGCTACACTGGAAGTATTTTAGCATAAGACAACTTACACTCTAATACCTCCTTTTAGCATATTCTTCTTGTGTCATCCAAGACAAAACCATTTTTGTTTCCAAACCAACAGGGAATGAGAGGGTGGGGGGGTGGGGGGGGCAGTTATGGTTGGTTGATGGGGGAGAGAAACAGGTTATCTAGGCTTTGGAATGTCTGTGGGTACTTGAGGCACCGCTGTATTGATAAGCTTTGCTTATATGTATTACATATATAATATATAATAAAAGTTTTTTGGTGCCTCAACATGTAGCATCAAATGGGCTTTAATACGCAGCGTACTGAAATGAATTTCCATTCATATTGGCCTTTGCACTGGGACCAAGGCTGGGATGATTCTATCCTTTAATGAGCTATAGCAAAGAAATAAGTGTACCTCTACATACGCATCATTGCTACTGGAAAAAGTAGCTTGTGCTTATACAAGTCTGTATCTTATCCATATGGATCAGGAGGCTGCAGATCAGACCTCTGTCCTGAAAAATAAGTGGTGGAGGATAGTCCTTAGGTTATGGTGATCTTTCTTCATGATGTAACTGCTTGGAAAGTTTTTTGGGATATGGGCACCTGACTTCCAGTTTAGACTGTGGATTTCTGAATGAATGCCAAGTTGCATATGTTTAACTTGTAATTTTAATCAAGAAGTTAACAAATAGAAGAAATATTCTCTTCTGCATTCACAGTAATGGTAAAGAGAAGGTTCATTGTAATGATTTCTCTGAAGAATCACGTCTTTTTTTTTTTCTCTCTCAAAAGATGCATGCAGATTTTCAGAATACAATGTGTCTTCCCCTCTCTTAGGTAATTCATTGAATTTTAAAACTATTAGCAATATTAACCTGGCCTCTGCCATAGCCTTCAACCACATCACCACAGTTTGAATAGTAATACTGCTATAACACTTAAAAGTTACTTCCTCTTTGTCATATGAGTTTGCCTCTATTGATGTGAACGAGATAGGTTACTCAAAGCAAGTATTTCTTGTTTTGAGAATTCTTGTAAATTCAGGAAGATGTCTCTTACCATTTAAGTTTCAAAAGATGAAGCCTATTTAATCTTTTTTCTTGTTACCATAAAGAGGGTCTGTTACTGGAGGTGCTGATAAAGCCTGTGCTCCGTTTCACTGGAAGTCATTTCCACTGGTTGCCGTTTCACCTTTGGCTATAGAGTTTAAGCTCACATTTCTGGCTACATTGCTGTGATGACTACTTTCTACTTTCTTAATTTCCCAATGATATTTTTACCTGATGTGGTAATTTATTTTCTTTCTGTTTGCAGGACCCAGCTTTTCATTTGTCTTTGTTGCTTTTATTCATTTTTCTGAAACAATAAGCATTAGTGTATTTCCACAAAAATCTGCTATCTTGAAACCTTGTTTTTCTCTTCATAAGGTGAGAGGACCTTCAAGTGTGATCACTGTGATGCTACTTTCAAAAGAAAGGACACATTAAATGTTCATATTCAAGTTGTACATGATGGACATAAGAAATACAAGTGTGATCTCTGTGACAAAGCTTTTGTGACACCCTCAGTCCTGAAGAGTCATAAGAAAGTGAGTAGAATCAGCTCTATCATATTCATTCCTTCTGTGTTCTTAAGGTTGTGACTAAACATAAGATTCCCAGATGCTTCTGCATTTCTGGCTTTTCAGTAGAAAGCTGTGATGGTGCTTAACATTCTGAAATGCTTATTGCGATAGTGGGGTTATTGGTGGCATGCAGAATCTGCAGCGGGTGCACATGTATAAAACCAGTGTGGGTACTCCAGCATCAGGTGTGTAGCAGGATGGGACTTGCTGCATTGCTCTTACCATACTCCTTTCCACTGATCTCTGCAATGGAATTGGGGTAAACTTTAGAAGAAAGCTTACTCACTAGTTTGGCCTGAGGTAAGATTTATGTTACAGGGAAGAAATGTGAAGAAAATAATTGAATCAAGAACGAATCAGCTGAGGAAAATCAGCTAAGGTGTAGCAACCAAATGCAGACTGTGAGAGTTTGTTGAAAAACATCATGCATATATTATTTGACATATAGTATGCACTTCATATATGCATGTAAAATTGTAATAACAAAACTGAGTGTAACTGAGTTACTTGGTACAATATTTTCAGCACATGATTATGGTAAGTATTGTGCGTTACAACACAAATCTATAGTTAAAATTGAGGGAAAAATGTAAGGGAGTCTTTCAATGTCTATCCAACCCTACTGTGTCTTACAGGTGCAGGAATTAGCACACGTCTTTGGAGCCTAAATCAAGTTATTGGCAGATAGCAGACTATTCAATTCTCTAATGTAACGGACAGCACTGCCTCCTTAATATGTGTTTGATTTTTAACATGTTTACAGATTGCAAAAAGTAATGGAACCAACTAGGAACAAAGTCTTTTCCGTTTCTTTTGTGGTCTTTTAAAGGTCTTGATCTTCCATTAAATGTATGTTAATGCACTTGCTGTCTGTCTTTGTCTTCAGTCTGTTTTAAATGCTGCTTGTCTCATATTTAATATGCATTAAGTTACTTAGTAATTATAGTTGCTGGAAAGTAAAGTTTCTCGTGATTGAGTGACATAACTGTATAACCAAGATGTATTTCTCCCAGATACACTTAGTGGAAGATTTTCACCTGTACTTTAGAAGAACTAGAATGACATGGGGTTGCCTTGTTTGTAGATTTCAGTACATGTACTATAAGATGATTGAGATTCAAATAACCTGGTTCATCAGTTGTTGTTCAGCCTGTGAAATCAGTTGAATTTTGCTGTAATAGCGAGAGAAACATGTTATAGGATGCTCTTCCTGTCTCCTCTAATAACTCTTAGAATAAGGAGTATTAAAGCACATTTGTTTTTCAAGCCCAAATATATTGGTCTAAGGAACTCAAAAATAAAGGGTAGACAAAATAAACTTACGATTTGTTTCTGATTATGTTCTTGGGGAGCAAGACTTTAGGAAGGCATAGTATCTTTCATTAGACAAACTGATTGGTTTGGAAAAAACAGACTGCTTTTCAGACACGCGATCCTTTTCATCCTTATCTACTTGTTTTAATCACTTCAGTAACAGACCTAGCCTATAATACTGATACATTGATTTCAGATTAACTTTTTGTGAAGGATCTTGCCAAGATGGATGATGAGATCCAAAAATCAAAAATATTACCTGGAATCATTGATGACCTCTGCATAAATTTTTTAAACTTCTGTTCCTCAGATGCCTTTCTAAAAAATTCAGTATGACTTACTCTTTCACGTTAAAAATGGCCATATACATATCTGTATTTGTATTTTAATGGAAAGCAGCTACTGTTTATCATTGATTCCTGTTCTTTCTTTGACATTCCTTCTTAATTGTAATTGCTATTGCTTTGTGCTGCTGTCAGACTAGGACTAGCTGTAGTTTGTGAGCCTTGTAGTTGTAATGAATTGCTCCCGGAAATCCTTTTTTTTTTTTTTTTTGTTTTTGGTTGTTTGGAATGAATTAATATCTGTCTGTCTGGTGTCCCCCAGTGTTGCTGTTAGAGGTATAAGTGATTTCTAAAGAACTCTATCCTAATCAAGAAGGATTTAACGTTCATATCCTTAATGTCAGGGAATGAAAACTGTGCAAGTCCGTCCAGTATTGAAATGATATCTCATTTACTCTTCCTTCAGCTGCAGCATAATATGTACTATGTGAGATAAGGTTTTTATGATGTAATGAAGAGTTTTATATCACTTCAATGTCTTTCATAAAAATAAGAATTAATTTCCCTATCTGAAGAGAGCCATGTGCAAAGCTTGAAAGCCAAATTGTCAGCTGTACATATAATTTAATGTGTTATCTTTCCTGTCCCATTTAAATTAACACTTATAAATGAAGTAATCCAAAATTTTCCACTAAAAAAGCAGTCACAGTTATAAGGGAAAGCTATTCAATAGGCTGATAAATCTTCAGTTCAGAATTGGGCGTTGAAAGTACAGTGTGAAAAATGATGAGAACCCCTGTATGTAACTTACTTCAAGGTGGTCTTGCTGTTGACCACACAGGTTGGATGGGAGAGTTTGATTTTTTTTTTTTTCTTTTTTTCCTCCATTTTGGAATAATAGTTCTTATATCAGCAACACGCTCTAGCCTTAAAAGCTTGATTTCAAAAGACAAGCTCAGTGTATGATTTAGTGTTAGCGTCAATTACAATATACTTCTCGTGATCAATTCTCTAAATGCAATCTGATTCTAGCATTTATTACAAACTAGATAGGATCCAGTATGCAATTTGTGTTGACTGAAATCACTGAGAACTTGCACTTTGAAGGGTTGTCGTCTGTCATACTTCAGATGAACTGATGGCTGAGTTCCATTCGCATGAGGTGGTCAGAAATCGTATGCACAAATCTCCATAGAGACCTTTTAAAGCTCTAGTTCAAGTTTGCAACAGGAAAAGTTATACTAGGTTAGGTAAACTACTTTCACTACATTCCATAATGCAATAAATTCCTGTGAAATTATAAGCTTTTAAAAATAGACCCACTTATGAAGATTAATTTTATTAGGTAACCAAATTATTATTTGCTGGTTTAGAAACCACTCTCGCAGATATCAAACTGAAAAATAGGTGTCTTATTCTTGCAATCATGAAAATACACAAAGGTGTGAATTGGGCATTTTTAATAGTAACTATTTAGGAAATAGTAAACTTAGGAACTGAAAAGCCAGTTTATTTTGCCATTAATAATGAGCTTTGTTTAGAAGTTTTTTAGAAGAAAATGGAAAGAACACCTACAGTTAATTCCTTAGAATCTTTGCCTGGTGTGACAGTATAAAATATATAATGGAGCAATAGTGGTCAATGTCAATACAGTTAAAATATTCCGTATTTCACTTCTTCTAAAGCTGTGCTGAAGCTTTCATTCTTGTCTTTCCCCACCCCATGTAGACTCACACAGGAGAAAAAGAGAAGATTTGCCCATATTGCGGACAGAAGTTTGCAAGCAACGGAACACTGAGAGTTCATATTCGAAGCCACACAGGTACAGTGTTGTTTATTGTAATGAACAGAAGACTTTCTAAATATATAACAAGGTATCTGTAAGTATGTCCACAATTTGTCTGTACAAACAGAAATGCTGGCAAGACCCAGAATCACAATACAGCTGTTCTGTCCATTCCTCCTCTTTATTCTTATTCTTTCTTCTACAGCTTCACCTTATCAACTCCTTTCAAAGTCCTTCCTGCACAATCTCACCTGTTCTGTCTTTCTCTTCAGTCCCGTAAGCTGTGGGTTTCTCTTCTTCTCTGCATCGTCAGGAAGTCAAAAAAAGAGGAAGAAAAAAAAAACCCAACACTCATGGAGCATCTGGTATGAGGATTTAGAGAACGCTTGGGGACTGTGCCTTTTGGAAGGACCAACCATTTACCCACCTGCACTGTACTTTAATGAATTGGGTAGACAGGAGTAAAAGGAGCAATTCAGTAGTATTGTTAGTCATTCAGCACATCAGTCCGGGCTTCTAGGAATATGACTGCCTCGATTTCTAGTCTGTGCTAACTTTTTTCATGAAGTTATTTTGCTGTTTTAGTTATGGACATTTCTTTACCTTCACCTTGCCGTGCAGTGAGGAACTACATCACCGTTTAATTTTCTGATAGTTTGGCATACTAGACTTTCATGAAAATTAGGACTATTATAGATTTTTTTTTTCCAATGCTTAAAGAAATATCAAAATGTTACTCTAATTCTTCATGAAAATCTCTGGATTCATATTCCAATGTTTTTTGCAGGCAAGTCTGCTTTATTGCTTTTACTAGTGTGGTGCTTTTGGGTTTTTGTATTTCACAGGCCCTTTCCTTAAACTTTAGGTGTGTTTTCTGTGTACTATCGATGTTATTCATCAGTTTGCACAGAGTAGAAAGGCCCTAGTTTTTCAAGTTGATAGTGCAGATAGCTCTTGGGAAAATGCTTTATAGCTGTCTGAGTGAAAATGCTTTTCACACATGTGCTGCTACCAGATACATTTAATGTTTCAGCTCTCTCAAGCAGGATTTCCTAAATTTAGGAGTTAGGCTAAGGTGAATTTCATGAAACCACACACCAGAGGCCTCTAACCTTGACTATAGAGCCTTGCAAAATTTGTAGCCACTATTATACGAGAAACAGTAAACTGTGACATTTTGAACTTACTTGAAGTAGAAAGGCACTGAAGATTTCCAGTACATTTGTAAATTAAATATAGTGGGAGAAACAACCTTGACAGGAGATGATACAGGTTGGAATTGTGGGAATACGCAGTGTGAAAACAACTTATGAAAGAATAACACTGCAGAAGGAGGGAAAGTTTCAAGGCCTCTTTCTTTACCTAAAAAGCTAGAAGCACTCATTTTAAAGAGGGTTACTAATTCAGGAAAAATGCCTTGCTAAATTCATTTATAATGACCTGTGATAAATAAACTCTGATCCTTTCTTCTTCCAGTCTAGCTGCTATTGTGATGTCAATCACATTTTTGGTGAATTTTGTGATTCACATCCTTCACTGTGAGAATCAACTGAAATACATTTTCATGGTTGTTTTTGAGTCATTCTGTTATGATTCCTGACCATTTCTTGATTATCCTGATGAAATGGGGGGGGGCAAGGTGGGTTGCTGCTAAGTTGTGACTTGTGGTTTAAAAAAAAAAATATTTGTAAGTTATACAGCAAAATGCCTTATGTAAGGTTTAGTGAGAAAATGCCATCGTTAGATTCATGTTGTACTTCTGGAGAGGTGGTTTTGAGTTGTGCTGTACCTGAAAACTTCAGCCAAGTTGTTCACAGTCATAATATGTGCAGGCTAATCACAAGAGGAAATTGTTGTCCAATGTTCAGTGGGCCTGAGGAAGCATAGCTTTCTGAGGAATAGCTTGCATCATTTCCAAAGCAAGTAAGGGTAGTTGCTGAAGGGAATCTATGTCATCTGCAAACAGTACAAAAAAAGTTGAGTATTCATTTAATGGCTTTTAGTAATAAAGTTCACTGTATCGTGAAAATCCTTGACAACTTTTCAGGGATTTTCTGAGCTGTAAGAAATTTTCAGTTCATCAAACAGTGGAGTCGCAAACATATTTTATTCAGCGATGGATGTTTGGTTTCTAAATGTTGCAGTGTTGAATACTTCATGCTCTTGGTATCTATTAAATTCTGTGGTTTTGAATTAATCAATTCAAAACTGTGCCCTCTTTTTTTTTTTTTTGGTCAGACTTCAAAGTATCACTTTTCGTTCTGAGCTAGAAGTGAAGCAACCAGCCACTGTCCGTTTTCTCAAGAGATGACTCATCTTTGTGGATAAGCCTTCAGCTGGGGCTAAGCTTTTGGTGCAACTAAATAGTGTAAATATTGCGAAGACCTTCATGTCTTAGTGATTATAGCTGATTAGGTTTGAGGTCCTGGTGCAGACATTTGTGTTATCCCATCTTTGTGCACATGGTCAGCTAGACTTTGTTTTATTAGCTACTTTGTATAAGAGGCTTTGTTCTGTATTTACAAAACAAACCCAGGCAGAGTTCTTTTAAAGAGTTGTGTATCAATTTTTATCCTTTTTTATTTATAAAGCTGTTCTTTATAGAAGTCGAGGTTCTTGGGTACCCTCCTGGGTTCTGCTTTGGAATTGTATTTTTGATATGCTTAACAATCCATATACAAAAAGAGAAGCTTAATGGGAATTTGGCTTTTATTTAATACACGGCATGTGTTCTCAAATATTGTTACTCACAGAGGTATGCATGCTTCCTCGATAAGAAATTTTCTTCCCTCTTTTATCTTAGAGTAAGACTCTGTAAATGAGCCCTAACAGTACTTGGCCTTTTGCAGAAACTGAGCTGGTTTGGGGTGAGTGAACATGTCTGCATGTGCATGTATAGAGGGAAGGGGCTGATGTTTGTATCTGAACCTAGCATATTGCTCTGTAATTCATCATCTGGGTTTCCAGCCTTGGCATGACAGAGACAGCGCTCTGTAGGTCAGCTGAAACACTATAGCACATTCTCCCTCTGCTGTATCCTGTTGGTTTATGACTTCTTAGGGTCAGAGGGAGCTGGGGTTAATTCAGCAAAAGAATCCTCTGACTGTGATATAAATTCCTTGGCTTGTTCATAAATTGTAAAAGAAATTCTATGGTCTGCTCCTCGGGCTTGAGAACTGGGGGCCAGGAGGTTAATTACTTCCCTGAAGTTTCAAGCAACTTTCAGTGTTAACAGTTACTGGCTGCAGTTTGTGCAGCTGCGCAGTTGCCTTATACATAGGTATTTAAATATGTTAATTGCTGTCTCGTGTGTGTGTGTATGTATGTATTTGTGTGTGCCTATGTAATATATATACACACACATGCATTTTATCTGTCTGATATTTATACTGTTGCTTTCCTAATTACTTGTCTCCATACATGTCTTCCAGAAGATGCTTACACGTGCATAGGTTAAAACGTAACCTTATTTTGCTTTTTCCATCGCATTTAGTCAAAGTCCTGATAAAAAGCCAGTAAGATATCTATGACTGTACATCTGTCCTAAATGTTTTCTGAAAAGATTAATGTCTCGATTCTATGCCATTTAAAAGCCATGACTTAATGTGGCATTTTTACATGTTGCATTCTCCGGTATGTGGAAAAAGTGGCTTTATTTTGTAAGCATGAGTTAAGAAGGTTCTTTGTAAATTTGCTTCCATATACGTGACTAAAAGATAATACCAAGATATTACATTAAAACAGCAAAAAGCATTCATACTGTGGACTTCTATATCCTTCGTGTCAACGTAGTTAAGCTTACCTTTTCAATTTCCATTTCCATAATTAAAGACTGTTTTATAAGCTCGTGAAAACATTTCATCATACTTGTCCCCTATAACTTTAGGTGCTGATTGCCTTCTTGAGATGTCTCTCATCCTCTGCATTGAGAGCCTGATGTTATGGTCCTAACTTTGCCACTGTAGTCACATTTCTACAATTTGATTAACTAGGCATTTGAGCATATTTAAAGTCATATTTAAGGTCCGACTATATAAACATCTAGGTCCAAATTTTGCACTTTCATGTAAAAATTCCTAAGTAACCAAGCAAAATATTTAGTTGTGGAGTTATAATAATCATCTTTGGTTATTAACAGTAGTTCAATCATCTATGAACATGAAAGACTTCAAAGTAGTTGAGGGAAGTAGTGAGTTGAAGTACAGTATAACTCTTGTTTATTACCGTGTAAAATATGTCTCCAAAGTTTTAATAGCTAAACAGGCAACTGTTTGTTCATGTATGTAAGAAATAATGTACAGCCAGGATCCTCATTCTAGCAAATCTTTTGGCAAATTACCTTATAAGTAATTTATATTTTCTTACATTAAAAAAAAGATAAAAGGGAAGCTTGAAGGAACTTCCTCTCATATCACAATGAAGTATGTGAAAAAATGTATCTGTATCTAGTCAGTGAACAGCTTGCAGATGTCTACAGATAGGTTGTTTCTATTCAATAACTTATAAATGATCTCTCTTTTATCTACCGAATTTAAAAAGGAGCTTGCAGAAGGCCTCAAAGGTAAGGATTCTGCATTTCTAAACCTTTCAGTTTATACATCATTGTCCTATTTATCTCCAGACAACAGTTAAATCTTTAAAAGTACCTGTAAAGTTTCATGCAGCTGTCAGCTTCTTGTTGTCTGCTTCCATGAATGAAGAAATGTTCTTATAAGGGATAGATTATTTGAATGCTAGTGACATCTTTAGATCAAATGAACTACTGATTGATTAATGCATCTACTTTAAAAGATTTGGTTGACCACTGGGTTCACTGAAGTCATAGATGTTAATGTTCCATTCATAGGGAAACCAAATTGCTTAATTCTACTGATAGATGCAAAGAATGAAACTGTTTTATTCTTTAAAGTAAGTGTGTCGGGGTTTTTTTGGTGACTAAAATCTTAATACCACTGTAGAACTGATAAGAGTCTGTAAGTAATAATGGTAGTTATTTCATGCTTTACTGTACAGATTCAGATAGCCTTATTTTGTAG